TTTCCCTATGATACGTCTGTGCACAGGCTATCCAGTCCATAATAATCAAACCAGTGCAGGAAGCCTTTTTGCGCGACCACGTTGGAAAAAAACCGAAATCAACAAGTCAACAAAAACTCGCAAGGCACCTGGATATAGTTAAACCAAAAAAAAGTTCTGACGCAGCTCCTTTAAAACTTGATTATCCGTCCATTGTGTTCACTTTGACCCTGAACCCCAGAAGACACTCCCTCAAACTCCCTCGGTCCGTCGTATTATCAGTCGCTTGATGCTTAGGTAGAACGCAATCCGACTGGCTAAATTTAAACAGTATTTAACAAGCTTAGATTCTGCTAAAAGTGTCAGTTACAGTAGACATTATTCACTTGGATATTTTGTTTTCTTAAAAGTATTGTCTAGTTACATATATAAGGAAGTATTCTCTTTCAGAACTAGATGTAATCAGGTTGACAAGCAGCTTTTCATTTCTAAATAGGCAATAAATTGAAAACAAATACAAGTGAATGAGGTCAAGTGATTTTGTTACAAATAGTTATGGTGTGTCCTGGGATTCATTTTGTGAAAAATCATGAGTCCCAGTCCAGAACCAGTGAGTCCCAGTTAAAAATAAAACGAGGTTGAAATTGAAAAGGCTTGAGCCTTTATGTAACCAGACAGTTAATCTGAAGACAAGCTCCAAAACTTTGTATTATAGTATACTGAAATTAAAATATAGTCCTTCTATTGGCGAATTTTTGTTTACATTTTCTGCCTAATATTGTATACGAGTAGTAATAGATTACTTCGATTATTTTATTTTGGGGACTTATAACTTTTTCGTATTGTTCGAGTCAATAGAGACTTTTAAACTCGGGCTATATGGCTTACCAAAACCTCTTTAAGAGATTTAAAAACTCGAAATTTTACAAATAATGTATGGCCATTAACTTTTTACCACCCAGCAATTTCGCAGTTTTAGATGGCTGCTTTTTCTTTCAATATTGCTTTTAATAAGCTGAAAATTGCACAAATTGTTTAAGTTGATCAGCTTTTTCAACTTTTGAATTTAGTTCGTATGTACGGCCACGGCTTCTTTGAGTTAAGTCGTATGCTAAATGTAAACAATGACGTTAGCCTGCGTAGCAGGCGCTAGGAAATAAATGGACGCAAGAAAGAACGGGCGCGCGCGAGGGATACACGCGGGGGGGTGTATCCCTCGCGCGCGCCCGTTCTTTCTTTTGCGCCCATTTATTTCCTAGCGCCTGCTACGCAGGCTACAATAACGTCAACAAAAATTCGTCTACTGTATTTTAAAGCACAACAAAGGCTAAAACAAATATGCATTGAAAAGATTATGTATGATCGTCTAAAACAATTTTTATACAAACATAATATATTTTACAACTATCAATATGGTTTTCGTGAAAGATGCTCAACGGAACATGCCATCTAAGACATTGTAAATAGAATTCAAAGAAACATGGACAACGGCATGTTTTCATGTGTGGGATTTTCATGGATCTGCGAAAGGCATTCAATACAGTTGATTATCATATCCTACTTCATAAGCTGTCTCATTACGGAATTCGTGGTGTAATCAATAAATGGTTCTGTTCATAGTTAAATGGAAGAACCCAAACCACTCAGGTCGGTTCCTATATTTCTAAAAGAGAGAAAACCTCTTGTAGTGTGCCACAAGGTTCTGTTTTGGGTCCTCTATTGTTTCTGATTTATATTAATGACATCTACAAGGCTTCAAACAAACTAGGATTTTACTTATTTGCTGACGATACAAATTTGCTGTGTGCTGATAGGAATATAAAATCACTTGAATCTGTTGTAAATGTGGAACTGCTTACTGATGTCTGTGACTGGCTAAGCGCTAGTAAACTATCCTTAAATATAAAGAACACTAATTTCGTTATCTTTCACCCATATTAAAAACGTTTAGATTATGAAGTTAAACTTAAGATATATGACAACCAAATAAATAGATTGATAAGTATAGAACGTAAGTCATATGTTAAGTACCTAGGGGCCCTGATGGATAGTAATCTTTGTTGGAAATATCATATCAGCCACATCGCGTCTAAGATCAGTAGTCATATCGGTATAATAGCCAGGCTAAGGCATTTCACTCCCTTTATAACTTTGCTTAAAACATATAGATCTCTGATTTCTCCATTTATCTTCTACGGCCTTATTGCCTGGGGACAGGCAGCCAAAGCAAATCTATCACTTCTTCAAAAACGGGTTGTCCGTTCGATGAATTTTGCAAAGTTTAGTGTTCACGCTGTTCCACTTTTTATCTCTACCAATATTTTGCCTTTACGCTTACTCTACTTTAAAAATTGCTCTATCTTGATGCATGATGTCTATAACAAAGTCGTGCTGTCTGACATTTCTGATCTTTTTACCCCCACTAAAGATGTTCATCATTACAACACCCGTTCTTCTACCGCTGGTAATTTCTATATAAACTACTCTCGACTAAATCACTACAAGAATTCTTTTTCCGTTATGGGCGCAAAAATTTGGAGCAGTATTCCAAATGTTATGAGACAGCTCCCAAAATATAGATTCAAGAAAAAAAATAACGGAATCTTTATTTCAAATCTTCTTAAAACAGGATTCTTATCTTGATATAGATACGTTAATAAATGAAATGAAATGAAAAGAATTTAAACTTTTCTTTTGTTAATAGATGAAATAAAAAGAATTTAAACTTTTGTTGTTTCTATTAATGTGGTTGTGGCTTCGTTGGCCTCTACATCTACATCTACAAGTCCCTCCTGTAGCCGCTTGTAATTATTGTATTTTGAATTCATTATAAAACAATTGTAATTAATCTCGTCTGTAATTTCGTAATTATTGTATATCTTGTATCTTTATCTCATTAGAATAATCTATTTTGAATTCATTAGTGTAATTAATTTCTGCAATTTCGTATATCTTTATGTCATTAAAATAATATTGTTTTATATACTAAAACAGTGGATAGTGTTTTTCGCGCGCTCTGATTGGCTACTCAATCAGTGAATATCCTGCACTATTCACTGATTCACCTCCAGTCCTCCGAGCGAGCGACGCCAAACTCGCGTAAGTTGCGAGCAAAATGCCTTCCAGGTTTGCTGCCGTAAACAAACAAAGAAATTTCACAACTAATCAAGCAAGCTGTTTCCGAAATACACGAAGAAGGTGACGAAGTTCAGATTGGAAGTTTTAACAGGTAAAGCTTTGTCTTTTTGACACGAATTTATCGATAAAACCGGTGAAAAAGTTTTTTGTTTACAAATGCAAATTAAGTTTTAAGTCTTGCGTTACTTTATTTAGTTGACTTGTTCATAAATAAGCTTAAAAGTAAATTTAATAATCTTTTTTTATAGAATGATTTTAAATACAAAAAGAATTCACAACTCCTTTTGAAGAAATTTCCCTGCAAGAGCTAAACAAATGCCTTCAAAAGTTTTAATTGTCGGCAAGAAAAAGCGACGGCCACGGCCGCCCGGTCATTACGCGCCAAAATTGTAATCGTTGGCAACAGTATTTGAGTTAAAAATCATCATTTTTGTGCTCAATATCTCATTGTTTTAGTATATACTAAAACAATTATTCACCTCAGTGTTGGTGGCTAGTCGTGGATACACCTCCACTTCGGTGAATAATTGTTATATATTGAGTAATAGACACGTCTCCATAGTACCTGCCTTGATTAGCTCCGCTATTTTGCAGGTAGTCTGTATTTGTAATTTATTTATTGTGAATGTAAACAAATAAAGCTTGGACGCGCAATTAGAACGAATCCGTCTGGCCAAATTTAAAAGGCTTAGATCCAACCTCGTTCCCAGGTTCTCCCTCCGGCGGGTAGGAGAGAACCCTGGGAACGAGGTTTGGTTAAATCCTGCTACAACAAACGTCTACCGTGTCAATTACAGAAAGCATAATTCACATGGACATTTTGTTCTAGGAAGTATTCTCTTTCAGAAGGGGATGTAATCATGTTGGCAGGCAATTTTCATCTCTGACTACACAACCTACATTGAAACCATATTCAGGTGAATGAGGTCTATTGCATCTGTTCAGTTACAATTGTCAGATTTTCTCTATCATCCGCTCAAAAAAGGGGACACCCCTCCCCTGCGCGGACCCTCTGGCCTGTGCGGTTCATTACATTATTATACTCTGAAAATACTCATTACAATATTTTGTTATGGTGAGGGTATAGTCCAATGGCGATAGAGATACAGTGGAACCTCCTTGGTACAACGAACGATTTTCTTAACGCCAAATAAATGTAAAAGAAATGAAAAAAACTCGATATAACGAAACCTCGTTATAACGAGCACATTGTTCCCTTCGTTATATCGAGGTTCCACCATACATAGAATAAGAAAAAGGAATAAATTTATGTACGGTACGCTTGTTTCTGAAGATGAGTTTGTCCTATAATAGCGTCCAAAGCATTGAGTTGCCTAATCTTTGCCTTTCCCTACATTGGGGTGCCCACAAAAGCCTTTAAAAAGCCATTTGGATAACCGATGACATACATGTATATAATGAGCTGTAATGTATACAGCACAGCAAATTCACTTAAGTAATTGTTTGTTTCTTATGCTACATTTCAAGCGTTTCCTCTTAACTTCGGATCTCACTCGCCTGACCGACACTGGGTTATTCTTACCTGCTGAATAAAGTCAACTATTTCAACCATGGCCCTGAACTTAATAATACTTTTAGTCTGAATAATTTTAACAAACTATGTTCCTTCTTAAAACCCCAAGAGTATTTTCTAGACATTTCTTTGTTTGAACGCATATGGTTGCAAAATTTTCTGGTGATTAATGAAATCAGTTCTTTTAGCACACTACCTTCCTTGTTTGCAAATTCTAGTTTTGTTTACAACTGATTTGTTTCAGTCGCTTGTTAAAACGATGACTAAAATAACAGCTATCCCAACTGAATTCTTCATTAAGATACTAATAGAAATACACAATTAAGTATTGTCGATTAACGCTGATTCATCATAGTGCTCCATTAGATATCAAGCATTTTACTGCATCAGCATTATTTTTCTCTATTGCTCTACTCAGAGGATTTACACCGTAGACGTCTTTTAAATGGATGTCAAGACCAAGTGATAACAGCTTGTTGATAATGGATGTATTTCCACCTGTTGCGGCCTTGTGGAGCAGACTGGACCCTTCGTTGTCTTTCAAAAATGAATCAGCACCATTTTGTATCAGCATCGCAAAAGCATTCTGTTTGCCACAATAAGCTGCAGTCATCAGTGGAGTGACGCCATGATCATTATCCCTTGAATCAATGTCAAGACCAAGTGATAACAGCTTTTTGACAATGGATATATTTCCACCTTGTGCAGCAGAGTGGAGTAGACTGAACCCTGTGTTGTATTTCAAAGATGGATCAGCACCGTATTGTAAGAGCATCTGAAAAGCACTTTGTTTGTCACAATAAGCTGCAGTCATCAGTGGAGTGACGCCATCATTATCCCTTGAATCAACGTCAAGACCAAGTGATAACAGCTTTTTAATAATGGATGAATTTCCACGTTGAGCAGCAAAGTGAAGCACACTGAACCCATTGTTGTCTTTCAAAGATGGATCAGCACCGTTTTGTATCATCATCTCAAAAGCACTTTGTTTGCCAGAAGCAGCTGCACACATCAGCGGAGTGACACCAGCATTATTCCTTGAATCAATGTCAAGACCAAGTGATACTGACAGCTTGTCGATAATGGATGGGTTTCCACCCTGTGTAGCAGAGTGGAGCAGACTGAACCCTTTGTTGTCTTTCAAAGATGGATCAGCACCGTTTTGTATCAGCATCTCAAAAGCACTTTGTTTGCCAGAATCAGCTGCACACATCAGTGGAGTGATGCCATCATTATCCCTTGAATCAACGTCAAGACCAAGTGATAATAGCTTGTTGAGAATGGATCTATTTCCACTTTCTGCGGCACAGTGGAGCAAACTGGACCCATCATTGTTTTTCAAAGATGGATCAGCCCCGTTTTGTATCAGCATCTCAAACGCACTTTGTTTGTCAGAAGCAGCTGCAGTCATCAGTGGAGTGACACCATCATTGCGCCTTGAATCAATGTCAAGACCAAGTGATAATAGCTTGTCGATAATGGATAGATTTCCACCTCGTGCAGCAAAGTGGAGGAAACTGGAACCACTTTTGTGTTTCAAAGATGGATCAGCACCGTTTTGTATCAGCATCTCAAAAGCACTCTGTTTGCCATAATCAGCTGCAGTCATTAGTGGAGTGACACCATCATTATTCCTTGAATCAATGTCAAGACCAAGTGATAACAACTTGTTTATAATGGATGTATTTCCACCTTGTGCAGCAGAGTGGAGCAGACTGAACACTTTGTTGTCTTTCAAAGATGGATCAGCACCGTTTTCTATCAACATCTGAAAAGCCCCTTCATGGCCATTAAGAGCTGCATACATCAGTGGAGTGGTACCTTCCCCGTCCCTTGAATCAACTTCAAATCCTTGAAACAGCAGTAACTCTATAATCTCAATGTTTCCATTTATCGCAGCAGCGTGAATCTCCTGACCATCCTTATCTTTATATTCAGCTTTAGAAGCACAGTCTTCTAAATCAGCTGGAACAGTCTTGTTAATAAATGTGGCCACGACACTTTGCCCTAGGATGGCAATTTTGAAAATTAATATGACTGCTAGAGAGAAATACATTGGATACAAATTATCTTTGAAGATAATGAAGTTCATTTTATCATTCATTTGGTTTTCACAGATGGCCTTGAGATTAGTCTCAGATTAAAATAAATTTGAAGCCTATGGAACCCAATAAGAAAAAGGCCTACTACCTTTAAAAAACATATGATTAGATTAAGAAATAAATACTGGTGTTGTTAAGACAATCACTTAACTTACACCATAAAAAACATAAACATAGAAAATAATCATTAATGCAAATAAAAATCTCCAGATGCAAAAAAGGGAAGAAAAAAGAGAAGGAAAAGGATTAAAGAAAAAAAGGTCAGTGAAAGGAGTGAAACAAGGATAAACAATAGAAAAATATGCTTATACCACGAAAAATGAATGTAGTATATAGCAATACTAGAGGGAAATATTTGAATAACTGCCCAAAATAACTTAATTTTTCTGAGTAGAAAGGGGGAAGCTACAATCTCAGACAAAAATAGTTGGGACACTTCCACCCAATGCTGTCTTTTTGCTTCTGGCCCGTCTCCTCATCCTCTCAATGTTGTTTATCGCAGTAAACTCACCCAATCTTGCACACCAATAACGAGAGGGCAAGAAGCGAAGACAGCAAAGCGTCCCAACAACTGAGACTGAGACTGTGGTTCCAGAAGGGGGTGCTTATTCATTCTTCAGAATATGGGACTCAAGATTACATTTGTCTCAGGTTTCAAATGAAAGAACAATTGGGGAAACTGTAACATTAAAAAAAGTAGAACGTTTGTTCACTATATAACCAAATTTGACTGTACTGTGCGGCTTTAAAGATTTTGTCACAACTAAGTTCTGCGAAGGAGCTGCATCCTTCATGACCAACCATGTGATGTCGTCAAATGGGTCATTCTCTGGTATTGGACATGTTATGTTATATTCATTGAAGATAAACATACTGTACACCATATATTCAGTAAGTGCTGTTTAAAAGGGGTGCTTATCAGGGGCACCCAACAACGGTTTCCTCCTAAATGCATTGAATTCACTTTTTAGGCTACCCAGAGAAATTTTTAGCCTTCCTCAAGATATAGAAAATTCTAGGCAATTTTTACTTCTCCAAACAGATATTTTACAGAAAACAGTCATTGGGTGCCTCTGGCTTATTTGATATTTTCAGCCTAAAAGGGGGCATTTATTGGAAGGGGGTGCTAATTATTTGAAACTAATATGATAAAAAAATTTGCATGATTGCAAGCTACAACTTTGACTGGCTTTGTGCTGAAATGTGAGTTAAATCATGTCAAGATAGAAAAATCAAATGAACACTCTTTGTTCTCCAACTGTTTCATCGATCTGTTCTTCACCGGCAGGCCATAAGCTAAATGTTATTAGGCCTGAGAACTTAATCTGAAAAATTAAGGGAAAAACAAACTCTTCTCTCCCCTACTGGCTGATCATTTCAAAACTTCACTACCCCCTCTCCTGGGTGGGGAATTCGAACTGGAGGTGTCAAGTTTAAATTCTCTCCACGATCCAGTGCCTGACAACGTGGTTCAATAGATGTGTCTTTCTCATAGTGAGATGGAGGAGTTTACAAGTGAAGATACAGCTTTTACAAGTAAATGACTTGTTTGACAAGGATTCAAAAGCTATGCAGTATTTTTGGGGAAAAAAAGAGTCTAATTTTTGTAGTTCAATTGCCAATCAACATCAAGAGGATTTTGTCAGTCCAGGCCATGGCTGCCAAAATACCAGCTGGGTTATTCATTGTTACTGAACAGGGATAAAAATATAGATAAGATGTAAAGTGACAAACAACTTCTATCAAACAATAAATTCAATCATAGGTACCTTATACAGTCAGCTACTTTTTTCAAAAACAGTGGAAATAGTGAGAAATAGAGGGTCAAGAAATCCACTGCCTTATTCATAACAAAGTAGGCTAATTTAGCAACAGAATGGAAACGTCAGTTGATGACGGGAAAGCGCGCAGATCTAGAAAGGACTAAACGTGACTTTCGGTACCCAATTTGCCACTCTGCCATTGGTCAGGCCAGTTGTTTGATTTGCACACGCCGTTGTCAACTGACATTCCCATTCTGTTGCTAAATCATCCTAGTATTAATATCAGGCCTGTCTAAAAAGTTCAGATGCCTGGAAGGTTTCCCAGGGGCCTAGACAGGTATGTGCCACTGAATATGACAATTAGGTTTTCAGGAACTTGAGTTCACAATACACAATTTCAATACTATAAGTCTTGTGTCTTTTCAGACCGGAAGTCTTTAAGAGAGTGTGAACCTTGGCGACAAGTAGTCTACTTTTCTGCTACAACAATCTTTCTCCAAAAAATTTTATTTCATGACTTAGTAATGTTTTACTTATGGTTGAATCTCTATAAGCAAACATCCATGAGGTACCAGCAAGTTGCTACTTAGAAGTTGGCATTTCTGTAGGGGTTTACCATAAACAAAAACGCTCTTCCAGCGCCGTTCAGTCTTGCTTGCTTGGAGATTAGATTGTGAAATGAGGAGGTGATTAATTCTACACAAAACAGGATTTACTTGCTAAAGGTTTTTTATTTACTTCCTACTTTAGCAACGTCGAATATTCATGATATTTACTTTTTACTTGTTTCTGAACTGATTTTGTACACGTGTTAGCGATGACCTGAAATAAGTGTGCGGTTACAGCTATACGTGTGTATAAATACACAAAAATTCAAGGGCCTTGATTCCAGAGAAATTATATCATTGCCAGAGATCAAAAAAGTGATTTACTTGGCACGTCATTTCAATCATCGCCTAAAATAAACCGCATGCTCATCACAACACCCAGTTGCATACAATGAAAAATTACAACACCTGATTTTCTTCTGACCACTCAGTAGTGTTCACTTGTTCCAAAGCAATCAACGTTTTCAAGTGATAGAATTCGTGGACCGACACGTTTCAGAAAAGCTCTAAAATTAATCTTTCCTAAGCTTTCTTTGCAAAACATGCGTGGCTCTGGTCACGCAACGATTCTTATTCCCAGTTTCCACGGTCTCCACTAGGAATGCCTGGCACATTGACCCCCCTTTTGTACCATAAATATGAAGGAAAACAGGTTGCAGATTAGGAGTCTCGCTGCTTACACAAGAAAGACTAACCAGCATAAGTACTTTAGAAGAAACTAAACTTTGTTTAAATAAAAAAAAACATGCAAAAAATTAGAGTGGCATTTAGTGGTCCAATATATGTCAGTCACCATTAAGACTATTTAAGACTGTTCTTTCCTTCATGATCATATTTTTAAAGCAAAGCCAAACTAAGGGCATGCTGGGTGATTAATGGAGGTGACAACAATACGAAAACTCTCATAGAGATTTTATATAAAATTCTTTTGTACTTATTATTTTAGAACTTTGACTTCTGGCCGCCTCATAGAAGGGCGCCCATTAATAACAGCTTGCTGCTTGATGGAAATTCAACTGCTGTACATAATTCTGTATGCGGAATGAATCAGTAACTCCGGTCTCTTGACTTAAACAAGGTAGAAAAAGGAGAGATTTTGTCTAAAACATGGTGAGGGTTTGCTGGCGGCAGATCCAGGATTTTTCTCAGGAAAGGGTGCACCACTAAGTGATGACACAACTGATAATTGGTAACATAAACAAATTTTAAAAAGCAATACGAAGAAGAAGGCTTTTGACAAGGCTTAAATATGTGAACTGCTGAGAATACATATCAAATGATACAGCAGATTTTGTATAACTGTGAAGTGACTGCACGGTGTTAATTAAAAAGCCGCAGGTCATCTCAGGGAGGGTCACACCCCCTGCACCTCCCCCTAGATCCACCCCTGGTTTAAAGGCCTCGGCAGCCTTGAGTGCCCCCCTCCACGCCAGAGGGATTTGACACCTTTCTAATTGACTGGTGCATAAGGTGAGATAGGCAAGAACAGTAATACACTGACCTTCAACACTTTCAGCACAGCAGTTGTCACTCATCATCTTCAAAATGATCTCTTTGAATTTCTCACACTGGGTGTCCCAAGGGAATGTCTTGTTGTAACTTTCTCTGAGATTAATAGACGTTTTGAGTCTTTCTTCCGGCTTGTTCTTGGACAGAGTTCTAATTTTTTGGGACCACACTTTGGGATCTTCTGAGCCAATGGTCACAGATTTCCCACCGTCAACTTTCTTTAAAGCTTCAGCTATTCCAGATTCACTGGTAAGAAGAACAGGAACACCAGCAGAAATGGCTTCTAAGGCGATCAGACCAAAGCCTTCGGTACGAGAAGGCATAGCAACCAAGTCTGCTCCATAGAACATTTCTTTCACCTCATCTTGATTACAGTAACCACGTACTGTTAACTGCCTCCTTGTTATGTTCGTATTTTGTAGAAACCAGTCCATTATAATGTTATGTTGGCCTTCCGGTGAACCAACAAATGTCATCTTAAACTTCTCCCCAAGGGAACCTAATGCATTGGCAATGATATCATAACCCTTGAGCGACAGGTCTTCATAAGATCCTCTCCCAAAGACGAAGACACTGAACTCGTCAGGACTATGCGAAACATTGGCAAGTTTCTGATCTAAAAGACTGACAAATTTAGTCAAAATTCCAGGAGTGATGATGTGAACTTTTGTGTCTGGGAGACATCTGCTGTACTTTTGCTGGAGTCGTGAGCCAACAGCGACAACGGCGTTTGATTCTTTGCAGAGTTTGATTTCCTCTTTGTGCTTTTTCTCATTCTCTTCCACTGCATCTGTTTCTTGCTTGTACTTTCCAAGGTCTTCGCAAAATACATGCACAAACTGCACCCATTTGCACTTGGCATTTTGTACAATGCAATAAGCAGGAGTGCCAAACTTTCGTCCATGGCCGATCACAACATCAGGATGTGGAAGCTCCGAAGGAGGAAGTCTCAGCCATTCCAGACGGTCACTAGTCCCCGGTATACTCTTTGCTGTTATTAAATACACACCATGTTTTCTAGCATCATCTCTGTCTGATTCACTGCTCTGACAAACATAGCAGTGAATCGCAAAGTCGTCCCTCGATGTTTGAGCAAGATTAATAGCAAATTCTCGGTTAAACGTAGATAAACCTCCCCTGCTAGAGTTCCACTCGTTGCAAACAAACAAGACATTGAGCTTCGATTCAACTCTATCTGACGTGCTCGGTGAACTGAGAGAAGCTTCGTCGGAAGCTTTCTTCGTACATCCGATCTTCTTGAAAGACATCGCCAGAAACAGTAGCACAAGCTCTGCTGGGTTCTGTCGGTTCTTGGGAGGTTCCTCGCTAGCAAACTACTTTGAACTTCCTTTGTCCCCCGCAGAGTTCCGCAGAAGTTGCGTAGGAAACAGGGGCGAGTTTCAAATTTAAACTAATCAATAAACTGAAACCACTGCGAAAACATCCGTTTCTATGGAGCGTCCACACTGAAAATTAAAAAAGATCTGTTTCAGCCCTAAAGTGTCAATTCAGCCCTGCAGGCCAAAGTCTGATTCAGCCCTTCCTGGAGCTATTTGAGCACAACTTAGGCCAAAAAAGCTCAATCAAAAGGCTATTCCAGCCCACGGTAGGGCCCATTTCAGCCCTAGGACCAAATCAGCCCTAGCTGATTGGACTGTCTTGGCCCTGATTTAAGGTAGCCAAATTAGACTCAAAAATAAAAAAATGTATTTTAATCACCGAAACGGCCCTATTTTTAGGGCTAAAACAGATCTTTCTGATTTACAGTGCATGGTTTCCAACTGTTACACAAGTGCGAAAACTTGAACATCATCATCATCATCATCATGTTGTACTTCTAGCAATAAGCACGCCATTTTATTAGAGA